CATCGAATGTTACACAATATAAAAAAGATCGACATTTGATTTTATCACCTCGTGATATAACGAATGTCCATTATGCTATGCTCACCACCACTTGTTTTGCCTACCAGTTCAGACGAAAAAAATGGATCCAGTACTTACCAATTCATATGGAAATGTCAGCGTGCCTCCAAGCCTTTCTTACTTCTGTGTTTATAACCCTTCTTTTGGTCCTACGGAAGATTCACAAAAAGATCAACTACTCTATTATACTTCTAAAAACACCGTTCCAATGGATGTTAAAATGCGTCAAGTCGGACTTGCCCAGGGTTTAATAAACTTTACAAGGTTCGTGATCTACTTTTGAGCGCAAGTTTGTAGGTCAAATTATAATGTTAAAAAGTATATTTTAATATTTGTGGAATATTGCAATGAGGTAGAAATCGCAGCAATTTAGATTTGAAAAAATAATTGTTGACTGAATGCCATTTTAAAATACAGTATTCTCTATTGCTGCGCCAAATTTCAGGGTATTCTCGCCCTCAAAACCTTGTGAAAATGTTCACACGCAAAAAAATCGTCTTGCGATTTACGAACCCGAACCTGATTATTGGATACACATTGTAAGTATAATACTATTAAAAAAACCATTTAATTTATATTATAAACCTAAGAGAATTTTTTATTTGATTTACAAAGTCGATCGAATTAGGTTACGTAAAAAAGGTGATTAAAGACAAAGAAGGAAAGCCAAAAACTATAATTGAATATCTTGATGCAAATTTGCATGATTCTGGAGTAAGGAGAATGCTTGAATTGGGTTATGAAATGTACAGAGTAAGTTTGGAATGATTAGCTGTTAAAAAAAATTTTCTTTTAATAAAAGACTAATTTATCAATTTCATGTTAAAATCGAAAGATTTTTAATGGTCCATTTGAGTATACAGTGAGAACCACAGGAATTAAAGTTTTAAAAAATAAGTTAGAAGAATTTTTTGCTAATTGGGTTTTTGAATGGGATTTTGAAAAAACGGAGCTAACCAAAACAGTTGACGGTATTTTATTTAACATATACATCTATATATTTGGAGTTTTATCTTACTTTTCTGTTATTGTAGGTATTTTGTATATGCCGTTATCCAACTCTGCTTATTCTCAAATAACATCATTTGTAACTAAAATTCAGTCAGATTATGAATATATATCAGACATGTTTATGATTTGGCAGAACAAGTTGGTTTATCGTGGTAATGGTGCAATACCGGTTAATAATATCAGAGGGATATGGCGACATTTAGTTAGTTATATAGCGGAAAGAGATTCACTTGATCGAGATATTGAAAGAAAGAGAAAGAACAAAGAAGGAGAGAAGGTTGGTTATTAATTTTATTATTAATAATTTACGGGAAGATTTATATATTTTTATATTTTTTCTACAGGCATTATCCTTTAAGGGTTTTACAAGAAATATCTCTGGAAGTAACCTTTTTTCATATTTTTCGAATAATACGTCACCAAAGAATACACCAAAAGTTTCACCTAGTACATCTCCCCCGAATCCGTCATCTCCTCTAAATTCATGTCTTCATAGTTCTTCTACATCATCTGATACATTTGGTTCATCATCTCTTCTATCGCCATCAACGCAGATATTCGTTCCTGGATCTTCAAATTTCTTGTTGGGACCAACTAATTTGTATGGTCTTGATAAAGATATACATCCTGTAACAGTTTATTTATCGAATAATTCAAGTGGACGTATTAAGAAAGTGGAACATCAGTGTAATGACGAACACAAATACGAAGATTATTATGATGACGAAATTGATGAATATTATCTTATCTCCTATAAGGTACGATAAATTTATTTGGTTCTTTTAATATTTATCACATTAAAATTTTCTTTCTTAAATAAATCCATCTAAACAGCAAAATGCTCTCACACTGGTTTTCTTGATATCTCTTAAATCACCGGAATGCTCTCAAGTACAAGATATGGCTTTCTATAGATCTTTTCACAATTATTTATCTTCACAATCGGAAGACATTATTAAAGTCGTAAATGAAGATTCCGAAAAGTCGAGAAAACTTGGGTAAGATTTGTAAACCATTCAAGTTTATTTAATATATTGTTTAATATTTATATTGTATCAATTTTATATTATAGAAAACCAGACGCAGATAAAGAATATCGATATTTATTTTTCAATAAAATGACATTAGCTGTTAAATCATCTCTATACCCTTTCTCCTCCAATGGAATTTTAACCTCTTCATCAAAAGGTCTAACAATTACGGGTGAAATGGCTCATGCTCTATGTGAGTTACATGAGGACCTTGAAAAGTATAGATTGTTTCCTTTAATGCTCTCTATTATAAAGAATAGAAAAAATCATAAAGTTATTTTACTTTAATTGCCAATTTAGATATCCACAATTGACAGAAATATATACTCGCTCTTCAACTAATTTCTGGATAGTTGGTAAAAGATCTGATGGACGAGTATTATATATTGTTGTTCCTAAAAAAGAAGCATCATTAGCGGAGGTTGAAGGTAATTTGGCTTTTTGAACTTGAATTTATTTTTTATTAACCTTTTTAGTAACGGGATTCAATTTAATCAGAGGACGTAAGAAGGCTAACGGCGTTATATTTTTCTGGAAATTAAGTTGAATGTTAAGGGAATAATATTTAATTTTTTAAAATTTGTTTTTATTTATTTGGTCAAAATTGTGAGGAATATGCGATCGTTTAGCATAGTCCTAATGACTAACCAACAATAATTTGTTATTGAGCGAAGCTTAAAAAGTTGTTGACTTTATAAACCATTGCATTCTTTCAATAATAAAATTACTAATTTAAAAGTGTATTTCTAATAAAATACAAGGAATTAAATATAATAAATAAGATAAAAATTATAAAATTAATAAAGTAAATGTAAGACATGCATTATTATTTTTTTATATATTAATGATTATTAGGGTTCTGAGAATTTTTTTTCAAAATTCAAAATTTTTAATTTATATTAATCTAATATTATTAAAAAATTAAAATGTAATAAAATTAATCCATATAATAAATAAATAACTTTAATTTATTAAAAGGTTTAAAGATTTCTTACAAATAAGAAAATTACAAAGCTAAGGTTTTAATTAATTTACTAATAGTATTTACGGTATATATTATAGATTATAATTTTTTTTGAATTTAAACTTAGATTTTCATAATTCTTGAATTATTAATAAATTGATATTAAATGTGATTGAATTAGTTACATTTAGTTACATTTAGTTACATTTAGTTTTCTTAATTTATTAATAATCCAGAAATTATTAAAATTAGTTGAATTGTATCTGAATTAAATTAAACTGTAAATTGAAATCAAATTAATATTTTATTATTATAATTAAATAATGATTAAATTATTTGATTAAAGTATATATTTTAATATATCAGATATTATTTTTATTATAATAAAAAAAATATATAGGAATTTATCAATTAAGGATGCTTGCTTAAACCTCTTTAAAATTTTATGATTAATTTTAGCAAAATTTAATAAGAGTTTAATATAATTTTGTCATAATTTCACCAGTTTTATTTAGCATTTACTATAATAATTTTGGCATTTTGACATTTCACCATAATTTCAGCATAAGTAATTATAAGATTTTAAAAAAATCCTTTAGTTTCTCTAACAATCTTAATGTTAATAGAAGGAAAAATTATCTAAAAAAAAATTAAATTTTTACTTTTATATTAAATATGATTTTTTAGTAAAATCAATTTAAATTTAATATTAATTCATAAAAATTTTTTTTAAAATTTTTTTCCTTTCTATTAATAAGCTTTTATATATATTGTCACCGGGAATAATCTTCTCTGGTTACTTCACGTAATATATCTAAGTTCCTTTACTGCGGTAAGTAACTTCCT